TTATCTGTAGGCGGACTTGTCTGATGGGAGGACTTATCTGTGAGATTTTAGGGTAGAAAATATATTTGAAAATTTCGCGACTCATTCCCCTTCCCGCTGGTAGAATTTCTCTTAGATGTTCCAAAACGCGGTCCCTTTTACGATTTTGTTCTGTTCAGTATGTTTTACGTATTATTACCGAAACAAATTTTGAATTTTGTCCTCCTTTAGGTATGCGGAAGTTGTGGAGGAACTGCTGTTGGTGGTGTCACAAATGTTCCGCACTACAACATTCACTTTGTTCTGCCGTCAGGCCTTGCGGATGGCGTGTATCAACAGATATCGGCCATGTTCCCAACGATTTTCCATCTAGTACCGAGTGTATCGATGCCAGCGCAGGAGACATGATGCTGGTGGGAATTGGCTATGCAAATATTAGATTTATTGATCACACTTTGTTTCACATGTTGATATTAATTTAGTACTTTGCGGTGCTTCTATCTGTGATAACATAATAAAATTTGCTCACATATTATTTTTTGATAACTAGTGGGAGTACATTCCGCCAACATATCGTTTCCCTATTGCTGTAATTGTGTGGCCTTCATCGCTATCAATATCTCCGCTATGCTAAATGATTCGTTCTTCACTACCTAACTCGTTGTTCTCTTCATGAAGACCCCACCGACACGGTAAAGCAGCCAAATTTGTTTGTAAAATCTTACTCAGTATTTTCCACTCACTTTGAAATTTGGCAGAATTTTAGGTCACCATTCCGTTTAGTCGCTCGTTATTCGACTGAACGTCGACGTGTCCTTGCCGCGTTGGATTCGGAAGAGGAAGACATCACTGTGGAATTGGGTGCCTTGGGATTACGGGTATACAACATGCGTTTCGACGCAGCTGCTTCACCCAATGAGAATATGTGAGTTTTTTCTTTGATTAGACGCTTTTCCTACCATTTTGTATCGTTACTGTCTCTTTATATGGTTGGGTGGAAAAGGGTGGAAAACCCTATGGCGAAATGAAAGTAAAGGT